AATGGGGCACCCACTGGAGTATAGAAAAAAAAATTGGGGCACCCACAGACTAATTTCCCCTGGAACACTGGAGGGGCCAAATTGCTCCTGATTTGAATGGGTCTACCTTATTTGGCCATGGGCTGAGAAGGCAGAGAATCTGCTCTGTCAGTGCCCCCAGGGAGTTGGTCATCCCAGGGGTGCTCTTACTAGCAAGTGAGAGTGGGAACCCCACAATATGTGAACAGACACATGGTCATGGCATCAAAGCTTTTTCTGTACCAGGCCTTTGGGCTAGGCCATTTGGCTACACCCAGGGCAATTTTTTATCTACTAGGCCTCAGGACCTAGCCTATGCACTTGCACGGGCACTATTTATTTAATTTATTTTTTCTTCTCACCTTTTGTCACTTTTGTCTGTATGTCTTTCAATTGAATTGACAATGTGAGTCCTTGGATCTACCCTGAAGTTTAGGGGGATGATGTGTGGCCATTAGATTCCTTCATCCCATGAATTGGGAGGGGTTCTCTTTGAGAGAGTCCCACACCTAGTATTCATTGGTCAGCTTTGGATGACCACAATGAGAGGGGTCCGCCAGGCCTTCTGGCCAGGTAGACCAGGTTTGAACCTTGCCCCTGTCAGGAGCCTTGTGCCCTGGGGGGGTCAGGGTAAGGTCCTATCCCTTTTTGGGGTGATCAAAAGGCACACCCTTAAGTGCATTTTTTGTGTGTGGTTCTCCTGCACCTTTTTTGAACACTTATGGGTTTTTGTTTTTGCACACCACCACGGATTAAAAAAAAAAAATACAGTCAGCAAGGCTCCAATCGGTGGGATGTGAAGGGTGAATTCAGACAGTGAATTTGTTCTATAAATGCACCATAATTGCAAAAAGTGCCAAAAGATCCCCAAAACAATCGTTTTCCACTTTATGAATACACCTCTTCTAAAGTCTCTTATTTCACAGGAAGACAAAACTTCACTCAGCTTGCAATAAATTTCCCTTCCAAAGGTTTTTCTTTTCAAAGCTTTTTACTTGAGTATATGTATTATGTCTGACAGCTATCATGACCTTTCAGTGAAAAAAAAGCTCTAAAATGCTTCTTGAGATTGTTACTTATGGTAAAATTTGTATTCTCAGCTTGTATTCCCACTAAAAATAGTTTTACGACAGGAGGGAGATCCAAACACAGAAGAAAGACATTAGGTAGCATTCAGACCTTCCACCGTATAAACGCTTTTTTGGATAGACTACTCTAAGTGAAAGCACACTCTGTGGGTTCAAATTTGAATGGTAATGATGCCTACCTACTCTCTTTTAAACGTACTGATTTACCTGGTTCAAAAATATAGCATTACCGTAAAGTGATAGCATCAGCTCTGTTGCTGTTTTAAAACCTGTCACAAAGTTTCAGTTTTCCTTAGAGTGGAGAAAGTTTTTGAACCTTAACCTTTATTACTTTTACTGGGGAGATTTCCACCATTTCCTGTTGCTGTGTGTAACCCGTTATTAGGACTCGAAGTGCAGGGAAATTTCCCCCGTACAGATACAGAAAAAAAATACATACCTAACAGAGGTTCAAACCCTAATATCTATGACAAATACACCCTTCCACAGTGCAAACTCTCAGCCATTACCTCTATTATAGTTAAAGATGAATTCCAGATATGGATATTTTATACATAATTACGTTGACCATCTTAGACCAAGGAATCTATGTACAGTGTAAACCCAAAACAGGTGTGTGTTTTCTAAGGGCAGGTCAGCTGTCAGCAACACATCCAATATCATCACACTGATTGGAGTCAAGGTTGGCTCACTCCTGGCTCCAATTAGCTGTGGGAGAAGTCATTAAGCTAGGGCCTCACATACTTTTTCCTCCCTGCACTGTGAATGTTTACATGTTATGTGCAATTAAACCATGGCAACATCTAATGTTTGTGTGGTATTATGTTCATCAGACTGTGTTCTTCTATTGTTGTGACTTAGATGACGTTCAGAGAACATTTTATGCCCAATTCATGCAAAACTCCACGTAATCCCAAGGGGTTCACATACTTTTTCTTGCAACTGTATATACCATATACCGGAAAAAGGAATGTTCTGTAAACCGATGACATCACACAGATTCTGGTTTATTGAGGGCTTACTCGTAGAGTAAAGACCAATGTAAATACTGTATATATTAAGGCCCCTTTCACACGGACATTCCAATCTGGTCCGCCTGCCCGTTTTTCAGGAGGACCTGATTGGAACCTCTTTTTTCCTCTATGGAGCCGTAGGTGTAAGTGGACATTTGTCTGTTTACACTTGCAGACATCGAAGCTGATTTGATCTGCTAAAAAGAGACAGATGGGGATCCGTTCCCCTTCCTTTCGTCCATCCATCGAATTAGATTGGATGGCAGTCGGATGGAAATGGCCCATAGAGGACAGCAAGCTGTGTCCATTTCCACTCTGCATAAGCGAAGCAGAAACAAATCTGTCATCCGCTTGCTCAGCCGGGATCAGCAGGCCTCTGAGCAAGAGGATCTGCTGACAGGTCCACCCCGAAAGGAGCCATACTGTATATCTTGTTTGATGCCATTGTAGTAGACACCGCTACTCCAGTGATCTTCACTTGCTTCTGAGTCCAATGTCAAGTGCTTGTCCTGCTTCCTTTCAAACCGCATAGGCACAGACACCATTCTGAGAATCTGACCAGACAAGTTGGAGAGGTGGGGCAGTGATGTCATGCTCTCCACCTCGTCCATTCAGAGAATTTTCATTCATGAAAACCAAAGCATTCCCTGAATGATGATACCCATGCCGAGAGGGCAATCCACTGTGTTCAAAAGCAGACCAGCCACTCAGCAGGGGACCCAGGAAGCTAGTGGAGATCATAGGAGTAGCAGCTTTCAGATTAAGCCAGGTATGGTAAATACCAGGGGTGTCAAACTGGCGACCCTCCAGCTGTTGTGAAACTATAATTCCCATCATGCCTCTGCCTTTGGGAGTCAAGTTGTAACTGTCAATCTTGAAATGCCTCGTGTAATGCCATGGAAATTGCTGATTTTTCATCAATAAAATTAGTATTTTGATGGAAACATTGCTTAAACAGAACCTGCAGATAAAGGTAATATACTCAATATACAACAAAACACAAGAAAGAAATGCATTTTCAGTCATCTATTAAAACAATATCAGTAGATGTCATGGTATACTCTTGAAAAAGTAAGTATACTTTTGACCTCAGCAGCTAGTATTACCCCCTTTAGCAAAAATTACTCTATGTAGGAATTTTGTATAACGGCCCACCAGTCTACGACATTGACTCAAAATATCTGACCACTTCTCAGTGCAAAATTCCTACAGATGTGGGTTTCCTTGCATGAACTTCCAATTTTAAAATCTTCCTACAACGTTTCTAATGAAAACAACTCAAGGCTTTGACTGGACCAGTCCATAACCCGCTATCTATTCTTTTTGAGCCATTCCATTGTGGGATTTCTAGTGTGCATTGGAACATGATGGTTTTGAAAGAAATGTGCCTTTCTTCTTTCTCTAGGGACGCAAGATCAGATCAGAGCAGTGCTGATTGGTCAACATGGTCACATGCCGAAGCTGGCCAATTAGAACTGCTCTGATACATCCCTATCTGCCTGGAGTCCAGCTTTAACCACTTCCCGACCAGCCGTTGTATATAAACGGCCGGACGGTGGCACTGCAGGGTCGGGTGGCCGTCTATAAACGGCCTCTCCGCACTCTGCTTGTGCGCGCTCCCTGGAAGCGCGCAGCACCGCGATCCGGTGCCCGCTGTGTCCTCCGGACACAGTGAACCACCGATCGTCGGACGGGACCTCTGTACGAGGTCCCGATCATGTGATCACTGATTGGCGAATCAGTGATCACATGCAAAGTAGTAAGCAAGATGTCACTTGTGACATCATTGCTTACTATGTGTGAAATCTGTGAATGATCACAGAGGTCACATGGTACAAGGCTATTCACAAAAGCCTTGTACTATGTGACAAGCTGTGACCAATCACAGCTCACTCTGTATTTCTCAATGAGTGCAGGAATGCACACAGAGAGAAAGAGAAATGATTGCTTTTACATCCTATATGGGTGTAAAAGCAATCAGTGTAAAAAAAAAAAAAAAAAATCTTTATCACCCCCCACAAGTAGTACAGTGTCACCATGGTGACACTGTACTGCTAGGGTGACAGTATGTAAAAAAAAAAAAAAAAATAAAAAATAATAATATAAAAAAATAAAATAAAAATGTAAAAAAAATGTTTAAAAATTATAATTTTTGCTTATAAACTAATTTGTTTTTTTTTTTTTTTTTTACTAAAAAAATAACGGAATAAATTTTGGCTAAGATTTATGATGAAATATTATTTATTTGCAAAATTTTATATAAAAAAAACACTTTTTTAAAAAAATTTTTGACATTTCATTTACATAGCAAAAAAAATACAAATCCCAGTGGTGAATAAATACCACCAAAATAAAGCTTTATCTATCTAAAAAAAATGGTAAAAAATTCATTTGGGTACAGTGTTGCATGACCGTGCAATTGTCATTCAAAGTGTGATAGCGCTAAAAGCTGAAAATTGCCCTGGTCAGGAAGGGGGTAAAAGTGTCCGGTCTGGAAGTGGTAAAGCCAAACTCCTGGCACAAAAAAAACAACCATGTGCAATGCAGCCCTCCCAACACCCAGCACCCCTAGGGTTAAATGCTCATTACGTCTATAGAGTTGTGGAAGAGACTGTATTACCTACTTGCTTCAGCAGGCCTCCTTGATCTGCTCAATTGGGTTCTTTACAGCTTCCTCTCTTGGCTGTGGTCAAGACTCTGCCCCTCCACATAACATGTACATGACAATGCAGAATGTCCACCCAGAGCCTGAAGTTAGGAAGAGTAGAGTACAGTGCTGGAGCAAGGGGGGCAGGTAAGTAATAAAGCCTTTCATTCTATCACCTAATCTTAACCTCCCTGGTGGTATTCCTGAGTGTAGCTCGGGGTTAATTATCAGGGCCAAAATCAGTAACCCCAAGCTACACTCGGGATTACCCTGCAACGTTGCTCTGGGATTCCCTCCAGCACTTACCTTGTCCTGCGCTCCCGCGATGTGTCCCCTGCAGCGTCCCCGGCCATCTCCTCTGGCCGATGCTGGTATCCATCCTCTGGGTTCTGGTCCCTGCGAGCGTCGGGATGTACAGGAAGTACGGGACGTACGGGGGCCGGGGGGGAAATTTAAAATTTTTAAAAAGTGACATTCACTAATATACTAAAATCACATAGTATAACATTCCTGTATCAAACCATTTCACATACATTTTGTCCCGAGTGCTTTGTCCGGCGCCCTGCTTGCATTTTTACTGTTCTTTCTGCCTGGAAACTGAGAAACGTCCATGGCGTCCAAAAAGTGTCCCTTTAGGTCAAAATCGGTTTTAGAACGGCTAGAGAACAGCGATAGTAAATTAGAACCACTTGCAGAATTGAGTGATAATGATTCGTGGGGGAAATTCGTCATCAGACACTGAAAACGATTTTGCGACTTTGCTCAGTGATGTGCGAACTTGGCGCTATATTTCAAATTTCAGTGTTTTTGGTTTGATTACATTATTGAATCAAATGTATTATTATTATATTATTATTTTTTAGGATTATTTATTATATTATAATTTATGATTTTGTGTTTCAAATTGTATCATACCCGGGATGTTTACTAGACTCTTGTTTGGACAGATTTCAGTGAGTTATTCCTAAAAATTACAGGCCTACAATAAAAAAACAACATATTTCCATGCAAAAAAATGTATCACTTTCAGCACGGAAATATGGACATAATCATACCGCTATGGAGGTTAACTAGCATTGTGTGAAGCGGACACAGTAAGGACTTTTTTGGTATTGCCTTGAGTGGGGCTTTAAAGCCAAAATTTAGTTACATAGAAAAAAAAAAAAATCAGCACAAGGGACAAAACGTGCTTCCAAAGAGAAGAGTCACTTCTGCTGGTGGCTGGTCTATTAGTTCTGAGACCTCTCCCTACCTTCACAGTGATAATTTTCTGTTTCTGTGCTGGGGGGGGGGGGTGGATGGGGATGTGGGGGTTAATAAGACTGATTGGACCTGTCATAGGCACTTGTTAAGAGTGCTAACTATGCCCGACATTTCCGCCACCAATACTTCGTTCATAAAAGCTGTATTATAGCTTCCAGCAGTGAAAAGCCCTCTATGAATGGAGGGTGGATGGATAATTGGCTATGGCTAAACAACGTGGCATAGCTTCTGAACCACAAAAGCAGCTGAACAGCATTTCAGACATTTAGGCAAGTAAAGTTTGCATATGCGTATTTCAGCTGCAGATTTAGCTGTTTGGCCGCAGTTCAGATTGAAGAGCTTGTTCTGAATCCATTCTGGCTTACAGCCCTTCCACCTAAATGCCTTCAATGCCGTACGCTGTTAGCAATTTCCATTAGTCAGCACTACAGAAAGAGCACATGTTGAAAATTACCAACCCACTAAATAAAACATGTTATCTGGATGCGAAAGTAGCTCCAGATTATATATATTGTTAAAATGTATATCCTTGGCGAGCAGAGAAAATTGCATAGCACAATGTATTGGTATTGCAGGATAGAATTTTCATCCCCAACAAATAAAAGTGTAATAACTCCCGGCACCGAATCTATAAGTATCCTCCGTTTCACTAACAGTAGACTGCAATTTATCTGGCCAACCACTTCAACTCTTCCTATTTATCACAAATAAAACACTGTTATAAGCAAGGCTTCAATGTGGCAGCTTAACAAGGAGCCCTGTGAAATCCTCGAAGGTTATATCTTTTCCACAGTCACAAAATGTGTTACTTTACGCAAAAAGAGAGGCAGCATATACTGCAGAGTTACTTAGTGCCTAATTTTTATAATGGCAAAGGAAAGTCTACAAGGAGCAAATCAAACTGGGCTCATGGGCAAGTTGTCTAAGTTTTAAAGTATATGTCGAGTCAAAACTTTTTTCTTTTTTTTTTTAAAGTATAGTAGGGGATGGCTAGAACCCCGTCTGTTTACCTGTTACCAATTTTCTCTTATTTCCTGTCTTATAAAAAGTTGTCAACAGGACAGGAAAGGAGGAAAAACCTCTCTACTGGAGCCCACTAGAACAGCTTCCCCCCCTTTCCTCTTCTGGGAGTGCAAAATATTTTCTGAATGAATGCAAAGCTTTCTCTGAATGGACAAGGTAGCGATGTCACTGCCTATAGGATATCATGTGATGTGTCATATATGTTATATAAGGATTGATTATACAATAGCTATGTTTGGCTCTGAGGAAGAAGGGATCACGGACCATGCCTGCACCATAGGAGCATTTTTTATGTCCTGGATCAGGGGTGGACTGACAACTTATGGGGCCCCCAGGAAATAGGGGATCATGGGGCCCCTGTGTCCTTGCCCAAACTCAAAAAAGCCTATGAAAAAGGTACCAGGGGCATCTCATGAGGCCCCCTACAGGCCCCGGGCCCTTGGGCAGTGCCCGAGTTTCCAAATGGTCAGTCCGCCCCTGCCCTGGATACTCCAACAGTGAGACCTCCTTGTAGAGAAACATGGAACCATGTGTGTTCCTATGGTCCCCCACCACACCTGGTGCTGGCTTTTAAGAGCTCATCCAGCTCAGACAGGTCTAGCGGGATGAACTCTACAAAGAAGTCCAACTGGGGTAACATGCATTAGCAGGCATGGCCTAGGGTGTGAACTGTGTAGGAAGCCAACTATATTGATTAAACTTCATGGTGTGACTTTGTGGAGTACAGCTTTGATTCATTTTTGCTAGTGAGACCTCCTTGTCATAATTCCCAACTCTGTTTGCAACCTAAAGTTTTCCCACCCACCTTTCTGTGTCCCAACTCCTCTTTTTTACATTCCTCTTAGTATAAAATATATACTGAATACAGCAGGGATGGTGGAAGCACCTTATGATGAGCATGGCAGATGTGCATTCCCGGGAACTCAACACACAGATCTCACCAATAGATTCTATGGACTGACCCATTAATAAAACTTCAAAACATTCTTTGAACTGCTATTTGCTTACCAAAACAAGGAACATACGAATTCTGGGATTCTCATTACACTGTGGTGTGAGATGGTGCCATTCCCAGAAGAGAGCCTTTTTTTCAATAATCTTGAACTTTGAGAAGCCGGTGCCTACTCATTAGAATGAACAACTTTTGTTTTATCTCCAGAAATAGAGCCCTCCGTCGGGTATCGCTCCTCTGATTTGTCTGTACAAATCATGCATCTCCAGCAATATGTATCATTTTTGTGTTGGATGTTCTGAGCCTGTCACCTAATTATTCACAAGTACAGCCCACATACAATTTAGATCTGAGGACGGGAAAAACAGAAAGTGACATGAGCGAAGTTGAGCGGAATGGCGCTACTACTGTTCTCGGCTAATGAGATGACATTGGCCACAAGTGCTCCACGGCTACAAATAATCTCCAGAAACTGATCTGTTTATCAGACAGGAAGAAAAAATTATTTCATGAACTGTGTTTCCCTTTCTGTCAAAAAATATACTTGCTCTTTGAATGGATAAAAGAGTGTAAAATAAAATCAATGTATATCTTAAAATAAGTACATTGTGGATAAATAAACACAATCAAAAAATTGTAGGGTACGCCACATTGAAACCGTAGGGGATGGCAGACCTGGGCTTGGCTAGCTCATTTATAAAGAGTATGAAGAACGCTTGGAGGATGCCAAGGTGCCATATTCCATGTGAGCTATGTGTTAGTATTTGGAGAAATGAGATTTATCAATTGGGGAGGTATGCACTTTGGCCATATTTATTCATCTTTGAACAGGGTTTATCTATTATTGAGGATGCCTATACTGGGTATTCTAGATACCTCTAATAGGTTGCTGTTTATTTCTTTTTAGAGTTTCAGTGTGGTATACCCTACCCTATTGGATTCACCGGCAGAAATTTCCAAGATTTGGTGAGTGTCTGGAGATATTAAGATGTTATACAGATGGTCAACATACACTCACAGCCACTTTATTAGGTACCACTGATCAATCGCTTGGCAGCACAAATTGCTAATCAGTCAATCACATGGCAGTTACTCAGTACATTTAGGCATGCAGACGTGGTAAAGACAACTTGCTGAAGTTCACACCGAGCATCAGAATGGGTAAGAAAGGGGATTTAAATGACTTTGAACATGGCATAGTTATTGGTGCCAGACGGACTGGTGTGAGTATTTCAAAAACTGCTGATCTACCGGGATTTTCACACAACCATCTCTAGGGATTACAGAGAATGGTCCAAACAAGAGAAAATATCCAGTGAGTGTCAGTTGTGTGGACAAATATGCCTTTTGATGTCAGAGGTCAAAGGAGAATGGGCAGACTGGTTGCTGCAACATTCAGATGGTAGGGTAAGAATTTGGCATAATTGACATGAAAGCATGGATCCATCCTGCCTTGTATCAATGGTTCAGGCTGGTGGTGGTGTAATGTTGTGGGGGAGATTTTCTTGGCACTAGCAAGGTGTACCTAATAAAGTGGCTGGTGTATATGAATGTTATTTAGCTGATATTTATGTTTTGTAGGAAACATATAAGACATCATTGAATTATAGCACTACTACTAGAAACACCAATAATTTATTTTGGGTTTTGTCTGGTTATCATTTGAGGAATATACAGTATATAGTAGATTATTATCAGCTTAACACAGTGGTGGTTACTTCATCTGGTGCCATTATCATTCATTGGAGTTCTTGACAATATACTGTAGCACCCTCCTAGGTAGCTAGGGGGCGATAGAGTTCAGTTAGAAGGGCTGAGTAGCAGCCTGGGTGTAGCAGCCAGAAGGGTCAAATTTTGGTCAAGAGCTGAGAGCCTCTGCAGGTCAGCTCTCTGGGATTTCCCCCTACACTAGAGCTTTGGAGAAAGTTCTAGGAGCAGTGCGAGGGAGTGAGCTACAGTTTTTGCAGCTGCTGACTTTTATTTTTTTTGTCTAGGTGGAACTCCGCTTTAAGAGTGACTGAGCATTCTCAGAGGAGAGAGAAGGAGAGGCAAGAGTTTGGGTGGAAGATACAGAAGTGAGGTTGGATAGCAGGACCCTGGGAGGGAGCACAGGTGGGAAGAGGTTCACCTCCAGGCAGGGACACTGGAAAGGAAGAAAGCTAAGCACTTCACTGCTACCCAGAGAAAAGACCACCTGTGCAGCAGGGAATGAGTGGCCCAGCTAGAAGGCCTGGTAGCAGCCACCAACCCACCAGCAGCACAAGAGAAGGACTGAGTGAGTAGACCTGCACCCCCTGGGCCAGTAAGGGGAAGGAACACGTCAGTGGGAAACTGGATTAGCTTACTACCTG